AGGTGGAGTGTTGTGATAGTTTTGGAAAAAAAAGAGAATTATATTTCCATGAATTTTTTACTATTTTCACTACATTTACATAATTTTTGTGCTTGTGGTTTCTGGAGACATTTGGAAATATTTGTTTTTTTTGTTTCCCCATGGACAGACCATTGTACACTTTCACATGTTTTTTCTTTCTTTTTCGTGTTAGTTCTTAAGTAATATTTAACAAAAGTTTCTGTTTTCTTACAGAGTTTTTTTAGTTTATATACAATTTTCGAAACTTTTCTTTTTTCTTTTTTTTTTGGAAATTTTCATTAGATTTTTATGAGAAAACAAAAATTTTAATGAAAATTTTCTAAATACAACTTTAGTAATAACTAAGCTTAAAGCCTAGGAAAGCTTTTATGTTGTTACTAAGTTATAAGTGGTAGTTTGTTATAACAAAAGCTTTAAACAGCTTTTTTTCAACAATAAAATTGTTAGTTTGTTTGTGTGGTTGTGTTTTAATGAAATGTTATTTTTTGTTTAGAAATGTGTGACTACAATATCTTCTTCGAGATCATCCAATTCGTCATCGGTTTCTTCAACTTCTGGAGTGCCATTGACATTAGCCTCGGCAGCAGCTTTAGCAGCAGCAGCTTCTTTCTCTTTTTCAGCCAATTCAGCCTTTTCTTGCTTCTTGATTTTACGTTGCTATAAAGAAAATACAAAAAATTATGTTAGTTTAAAGTTTTCGAATAGAGAAATGCTTTAGTTTACCTTCTTTCTGTAGAGAATTTCTACAATGACATAGCCAATGCAACCCAAAGTCAATACAGCCAATAGAATGTAAAGCTTCATGCGTGCACACAAGGTGGTGGCATAAGCATAAGCGATCACAAAGCCAGCCGATTCCCAGAGACGATAATTGGAGAAGGCAGCTTCCTTGTTACGTCTGAACAACAGACCATATAAACCGTTAATTTGTGTCTGCCAAACAGCATCACCTACACCCCAGAGACCGGACATGGCATAGAAGATCAAAGGATTGTCGGGACTAGGACGCCAGAACAATTCTACGGTGATCAAGGTGAAATGCACAACAGCACCCAAAACAATGATGGGAGTACGACCAATGTATTTCATCACTGAACCGAACAAAATCGAACAGATGGCATTGACGACACCAAAGCAAATCATAACGAAACCAATTTGATGGATACCCAAGGCACAGGATACATAGGCCTGTGTAAAGTCAGCACCAATGAAAGCCTGTTCCATGCCAATGAATACAGTGATGGGTATGAGCAATTGTTGATTGGGTTTCTTCATTTGACGGAAAGTGGCCGACAACAATTCCATGCCGGATAATTCCTGAGCCGATTGAGAGCCTTTACGTTTTTCACCATAACGCTTGAGGGGATCCAAGAAAAAGGCAATAATGGCCACAGCAGCAATGATACAAGACAAGTAGATCATGGAGATTTCGAAGATTTCATGATCTGGAGGACGTTCCAAGTTGGTGTGACCGCTGGCACCGTTCACGCAGAAATTGGCACCACAGTATTTGAGATCTTCTTCGGAAATAGTGCTGTTGGCATCACCGCCACCGCTACCATGAGCACCACTAGAGAGCACTGTAGGAGAGAAGAGAAATAGTTAAATTAGAGAATTTGAAATTACTCATTATTAAAACGGAATAAAGCGTTTAAAAAGCTTTTAAAGCTATAGAAATATTTCAAAGTTTAAAAAGCTGGAAAAAAGCTTCTGAAGCTAATCATAACTTAACTTTCAGATCTCTAACATAGACATCAAAATGTTTACAATCGAATTTAAACTTACCAAGACTGGAGATAAGATTTCCCCACAATTCAGCTGTTTGCCAGGCCAAAAAGAAGAAGCCAAAGAATCTTACAATAATAGCATCCACAGCCTGTTCTGTAATTTTGGCATAAACTTGACCGACTTGAGTCAAATATGTAGCTTTGGACGCCCACATAGGAGCAGCACCCAAACCGACTAGAATACCAGCAGGAACCAATGTATAAAATCTATTCAAATTAAACAGAAATGGTTAGGAACAAACTTAAAAAAAATCTTAACAAAAAATCAACTTACTTAGGGAACAATTGGAAGGCAATGTAGGGGGCATAGCACAACATACTGAATACCAAGGTCCATTTAACGGTCAATTTACGAATAATTAAAGTAGGCAGGAATATACAGGAAACAACTAGAGCCGCATAAATGGCACTGAGTGACACGGTACCCAGACCATCTTCTGCATTAATTGAGGACTGTAAATTTGCCGTACCCTATTAATAAAACAAACAAAATATATTAATTGTATTATAAAAAATAAAAGTTTGAAGATAATAAAATCTATAAAGCTGAAACTTACCTGAAACGCTGTAAATTGTACCATAAAAGCAAACGAAATTATGCTAATATTTTTCAATATACGCCATTTTTCACCCGGATTGAGTATAACTTTCTCTCTGAGTGAGGCTGTGTCTGGCTCGAAACCAGCTTTTGGCTAAAATTATACAAGCAAATACAAAAAATTTTATTTGAGTTTAATTTATGTAAATTTTTTTCATTGTTTTTTTTTGTAAAACCAAAAAAACTGTTAAAAAATTTGTTGAAACTAATTACAAAGTTAATGTTATTTATTGGCTACAAATTGTGTTAAATTACAATAAATTTTTTGTTAAATTATTTTTGTGTTAATTTCTTTGCTTAATTTTTATTTGCAATTATTTTATTTAAAAAAAAACCTGTTGTTATATTTATTTCAAATCAATTGTTATTTTCTTAACTGTTTCTATCAATAAAGTCTAATATGCAAATATTTTTTTATTGCCAAATTTAGCCATGATTATATTTACCAAATATTTGTTAGACAAAAAAAATTATATATAACACACACTCCAAAATATGTTTAAATAACCAAAAAAATGCTAATTGATTTTTACTTTACTTATGTTTGTTTTATGGATTATAGTTTCGAAAAAAGTGGGGAGAAAAATATATTGCAAATGTTTGAAGTCTTGGCTATTTATGAGTCTAAGCCATGATAAATTTTATTATTAAACTTTGAAATGTAAGGCTAGTTCTTTACTATTAATTTCACGTACTACTGGCACCCACCTCGAGTTATACAGTGAGGAGCAAATAAAATGGTTGGGAATTTCAATAGGCAAAAGAAGTGGTTAATGATTTATTATCTAACAATAATGAATTTATAATTGATTATTAAAAAGAATTTATATTCTATAAAGATTGTAAAAAACGGTAAATATTTTATAGCATAGAATTTTCCATACAGAGAATTCACTCTTAGGTAATTAATGTGCTGAACTAGAACTGAACAAGAAGAACTAGAACTGAACTAGAACTAGAACTGAACTAGAACTGAACTAGAACTGAACTAGAACTGAACTAGAACTGAACTAGAACTGAACTAGAACTGAACTAGAACTGAACTAGAACTGAACTAGAACTAGAACTGAACTAGAACTGAACTAGAACTGAATTAGAACTGAACTAGAACTGAACTAGAACTGAACTAGAACTGAACTAGAACTGAACTACTGAACTAGAACTGAACTAGAACTGAACTAGAACTGAACTAGAACTGAACTAGAACTGAACTGAACTAGAACTGAACTAGAACTGAACTAGAACTGAACTAGAACTGAACTAGAACTGAACTAGAACTGAACTAGAACTGAACTAGAACTGAACTAGAACTGAACTAGAACTGAACTAGAACTGAACTAGAACTGAACTAGAACTGAACTAGAACTGAACTAGAACTGAACTAGAACTGAACTAGAACTGAACTAGAACTGAACTAGAACTGAACTAGAACTGAACTAGAACTGAACTAGAACTGAACTAGAACTGAACTAGAACTGAACTAGAACTGAACTAGAACTGAACTAGAACTGAACTAGAACTGAACTAGAACTGAACTAGAACTGAACTAGAACTGAACTAGAACTGAACTAGAACTGAACTAGAACTGAACTAGAACTGAACTAGAACTGAACTAGAACTGAACTAGAACTGAACTAGAACTGAACTAGAACTGAACTAGAACTGAACTAGAACTGAACTAGAACTGAACTAGAACTGAACTAGAACTGAACTAGAACTGAACTAGAACTGAACTAGAACTGAACTAGAACTGAACTAGAACTGAACTAGAACTGAACTAGAACTGAACTAGAACTGAACTAGAACTGAACTAGAACTGAACTAGAACTGAACTAGAACTGAACTAGAACTGAACTAGAACTGAACTAGAACTGAACTAGAACTGAACTAGAACTGAACTAGAACTGAACTAGAACTGAACTAGAACTGAACTAGAACTGAACTAGAACTGAACTAGAACTGAACTAGAACTGAACTAGAACTGAACTAGAACTGAACTAGAACTGAACTAGAACTGAACTAGAACTGAACTAGAACTGAACTAGAACTGAACTAGAACTGAACTAGAACTGAACTAGAACTGAACTAGAACTGAACTAGAACTGAACTAGAACTGAACTAGAACTGAACTAGAACTGAACTAGAACTGAACTAGAACTGAACTAGAACTGAACTAGAACTGAACTAAACTGAACTAGAACTGAACTAGAACTGAACTAGAACTGAACTAGAACTGAATGAACTGAACTATAACGAACTCTAGAAAACTAGAAACTGAACTAGAACAAACTAGAACTGAACTAGAAACTGAACTAGAACTGAACTAGAACTGAACTAGAACTGAACTAGAACTGAACTATACTGAACTAGAACTGAACTAGAACTGAACTAGAACTGAACTAGAACTGAACTAGAACTGAACTAGAACTGAACTAGAACTGAACCTAGAACTGAACTAGAACTGAACTAGAACTGAACTAGAAACTGAACTAGAACTGAACTAGAACTGAACTAGAACTGAACTAGAACTGAACTAGAACTGAACTAGAACTAACTAGAACTGAACTAGAACTGAACTAGAACTGAACTAGAACTGAACTAGAACTGAACTAGAACTGAACTAGAACTGAACTAGAACTGACCTAGAACTGAACTAGAACTGAACTAGAACTGAACTAGAATGAACTAGAACTGAACTAGAACTGAACTAGAACTGAACTAGAACTGAACTAGAACGAACTAGAACTGAACTAGAACTGAACTAGAACTGAACTAGAACTGAACTAGAACTGAACTAGAACTGAACTAGAACTGAACTAGAACTAAACTAGAACTGAACTAGAACTGAACTAGAACTGAACTAGAACTGAACTAGAACTGAACTAGAACTGAACTAGAACTGAACTAGAACTGAACTAGAACTGAATAGAACTGAACTAGAACTGAACTAGAACTGAACTAGAACTGAACTAGAACTGAACTAGAACTGAACTAGAACTGAACTACTGAATAGAACTGAACTAGAAATGAACTATAAGTATCGTTTTTTATTATAACCTAATAATACAGAAACTTTTAATTTATGTAATGTAAAGTGCATTTCAAATCCGCGTCTGCCGATTAATATTAATTAAATGCAATAATTAATTGTAAAATTACACATCATAAAAGTGTTATGAAATTACATTTTTTTATTATACAAAAATCTTCCTTTAAATTAAAATTTTTTTTGTTTCGTCAGTTATATGTCTGAAACAACAAAACAAATAAACAATATTTGTTTAATCATTAACATTTTATGGTATTTGTCAAGAAATAGTAGGAGCCCAACAAATTTGTTTAATAAAATTAATACAAGCTATAAGGGGGAAGCACCAAAACGCTGGCTGCTGAACTTCTTTCCAAGCACTTAACTTGATCACAAATTTAAAATTTGAATTTGACGCAAAATGCAAAATTTTGCTGTAAATAGTGTGAGCGGAAAGAGGAGATAGAAATAAAATTATTTAATAAAAATTTAATTTATTAAAACATGCAAGTAATATGAATATTACTAAACTAGACCACTTTGACAAATAGTTTCAGTTGTTAACAAAAAAATGTGTGTTAAAAATAAAAAATAATAAATAAAATACTTTATTGACATTTTAGTAAAAAAATGGTTGGCAATAAGAGAACATGGCGTTAACACTTCAGGAAAATTAAACAAGATTTTATAAATAAAAAATAATTATATATATGAATTCATAAAAAACATAAAAGTTGTAACGAAATTTTATATTTTTTAAAATCCCTCTAAAAATCTTTTATAAAAGGATATTTAATAATTTCACACACGTTTAAACTTTTGTATTAACAACAAAACAATTTTTAACGACATAATCTTTGATAGTGACCTACATTGTGTTTAATTTTAGCAAATTTCTTTCAACTATAATAAAGGTGTGTTTTAGCACTGTATTACTTGTAAAAATGGTCCGTTTTTTTCAATTCATAACATTGGGAATGATACAAATAAGTTTGGAAAAAAAGTTTTAAAACGTGATACTTTTTAAAACTTAAGGTGGGAGATTATTTAAAATCCGGTTGTTTAAAGAAATCTTAAATAATGTAATAAACAGAAAAAAAATTATTAAACATACATGTCTGCAATTAAAAATATAAAAATAAAAGTTTTACAAGCTATAACATGTGTTAAGCACTTACATAAATTACAGACTTTAAAAAATTTCCATAAAATTAAGAAAAACAAACATAATTGTTTAAGTTTAAAGGAGTGGAAAGTTAATTGAAATGCAAATAAAGTTTTTAACGTGACTAAAGTTGGTCTCTTATATACTGTTTATGATCTAAAAGAAAGTCCTTAATGCAATACCAAATGCATATGGTTTAATTGAATCACCTATTCCAGAACAGAAGTTTTTTAAAATTAAAGTCTACTTTAAGGCTGCTTTTGTAGAAAGAACAAAAATTTTCAAAACAATTGTTTTAATTGTAATCTTGTGTAATTATAACTAAATTTTGATTAAAAATTTCGATAATAGTTTTATATTATTGTTGTTATTTTTTTATTTATTAATTATGATTTGTTTATTGCTTATAATTTTCAAATTACTGATTAATTAAAATATTTGAAACATGTTTTTGTGTACTCCGTGATAATAATGATTATTTTTTTTTATTTAGCTGTAATTTAGAGATCGTAAAATGTTATTTTAACAATATATTGTTTACAATTTACAGTTATTGTCATTGAGTTACTTAAATGTGAAATTGTTTTTCTAGGCTAAATATTAAGACACACTGTGATAAATGTTATAAACAAATAGAATAAACTAAACTAGTTCAGTTCTAGTTCTAGTTCAGTTCTAATTCAGTTCTAGTTCAGTTCTAGTTCAGTTCTAGTTCAGTTCTAATTCAGTTCTAGTTCAGTTCTAGTTCAGTTCTAGTTCAGTTCTAGTTCAGTTCTAGTTCAGTTCTAGTTCAGTTCTAGTTCAGTTCTAGTTCAGTTCTAGTTCAGTTCTAGTTCAGTTCTAGTTCAGTTCTAGTTCAGTTCTAGTTCAGTTCTAGTTCAGTTCTAGTTTCTAGTTCAGT